TTTTTTTTTTTTTAATTAATAAGTATTTCATTAAAATATTGAATTTATAATTATATACCGATGCAAGATTTTGCTATGAGAAAGCAATCTAATGAGACCGCAATTTTGATATGGAATATAATAATAAGTGTATATCATTGATTTAATAGTAGGTATTTCATACTTAATTAAAAAAAATATTGTGATGCTATAATTCGTTTTGATAAAGCAATTTAATGGGAACCTAATTTTTCAATGGCATATAATAATAAAGGTTAATTATTTATTTTTATTGAATATATATGAAAATAAATGATCGAAAGAAGTATAGTGATGCAATTGAATGCTTTGATGATGCAATCTTATTAGATTCGAATTTTGCTATTGCCTATAATAATAAAGGTAGATATATTATTTTATTGATATAGGTATATCATTAGAGAAATTAAAGAAATATGATGAATCTTTAGCGAATTTCAGTTATGCATTAAAGATTGATTCAAAATATTCATAAGCTTATATGAATAAAGGTAATATTTACTAAACTAACAAAGTGATGTATTATGAAACATCAAAGGTAAAATTAAAAATATCAAAGATGAAAAAAAAGTAATAATAAGCAATAGATACTTATATGCAAGCAATCTCTTATTGTTAATTGGATGAGAATGAATTTAAAAGGTTAATTTTGGAACCCAAAAATAAGATTTGAAATATTTTTCATAATAGTTTAAAGAATTTTTATTTAAAATATATAACTCTTAGAATAGATTATTTCTTAACAACTGAAAAATAAGATCAAATGAAAATATTTCCATGGGAGGATTTAACTTAAAATATTCTTGTAAAATTATAAAAATAATTTGGTTATTAAATTGCTTATATCATTCTTATTTTTAAAAGTTACTTTACAATTGATTAATAATTTATATATAATTATATTAAATGAATAAAACAGTTTTTTATATCATTATGATTTATAACCACTACCATCACCTGTAGAAGTATAGTAATCAATTATTTAAATAATTATTATGCAAAAGTAATTTTTATTAAATGCTAGAACAATCTCAATAAAATATTAATTAATTTTATAGCTATTTATAACAATAATAATATATTTATTAGTCTATTTTTTACAAAATTTTTCATCATTCTAATTACGAATTTTTGTCATTCTAATTATGAATTTAATATTAGAAATTAATAATATGTAAATTATTAATTTAGTAAGCGATAATTATATAAGAAATTTTTCTATAGAAAGGTTGATTATAATCACTGAAATTTCATATATGATAATAAATCTTATAAGAATAGGGAGGAGATTGTCGCGCTTTAATTATAAAGCAAAGAAATAAAAAAAATGGAAAAAAAATACTGTTGTCATATTGAACATTAATTAATCACTTAAAATTTAAGTAGATTAATTAAATAACTTTATAAACAGCCCCTTTTAATAAGTATTTTAAGAAATATACCAAAAAATATCTATTAATTATTTGCTTCAATAAATATGAAAATCTTTAAGTAAAATTATTATAATTTATATCACAATTAATGGTTTTAATTTTTTTTTAATTTATCATGTTAGGGAAACGTATTTTATCTACAAGAAGTTGAGTTTAGGTAATTTGTCAGAACAATTTGAAAATTCTATTATTCCAGAGAAAAATATAGCAAATTTTTGATGTATTTGAACTTAAAGAAATTCTAAATAGTATTTACTCACAAGAAGCTGAGGATAAGAAATAGAAAATAGGGATGCAATTTTATATGCAATTTATTGAATCTATATACAATCTGGCCAAGGTTTAGCCCATGCCTTAATCATAAAGTAGTGTTCCTAGAGACTAAGGAGTTAAAAAGATAGCCTCTAAATTCTCTTTTATAGAAGGATCATTAATAAAGGAGGATAAAGTAGTAGAAGTCCAGTTTATTGAAGATGGGAGTTGCTCATAAGTGATTATTGTCACCAAAAGATTGGGTAATATCTCTTTTATTATGGGACAAATCATAAAAATAGCATTATCAGCTTGGATTAGGGGTCTAATTTGCTAATCTCCTTTATGAGTGATCGGACAGGAAGAGAAGAAATCTTATTCCCAATAGAAGCATTCTTATTAAATTTTATCTTCTTAATTAATATAAAAGAAACACAAAGTAAAGGGAAAGAGATGATTATCCAAATTTGGAATTATAAGAAATCAATAAGCCGATTATAAATTAATTTAATTTATGATATACAGTTTCCATCATAAATCTACCATCATTGCTTCAGATCTATATATTATTATTATGAATATAAAAACAAATTGTTAATGTAAAATTTTACTATTTTGAAAAAAATTAGGATGATTAGAAAAATTTGCCATTTGAATGTAAAATCCAATAAAATGCACTTTACTGTCATTACATTGTCAATAAATATTGGGGGATATGCCAATTTTTTCTTCTAATTATTTTACTTTTTCTTGATACAATTAATGCTTATTCAGTATTTTGTCTTTTTATATTAAATCTTAAAAAAGTTAATATTAAAATAGTATAAACTATTTATGTTGGTAAAATAATTTGAATTAATACTCAATTAGAATATATGAGATTTGTTGAAAATCTGCTCATTTAGTAGTAAGTGAAATTTTAGGAAATTTAAATCCATCATTTGTTTGATTATAATCTGGATATTTCATTATTTAATAATCAAAAAATAAGTGTAGATGAGATTATTATAATTAAATTGGAAATTATAACACTAAGCATTACTCTATAATATTTATCAGTTACCCCTAAATTGAATGTTTATTTTCTCCTCTACGATCTTTATTTTTGGGTTGTTCATTAATCCTCTGAGCAATTTAAAAATTTAAATTGTATTCATTCAAATAATGATAACATAAATTGAGATACAATTTTAGTGACTTAATGGAAATAACCAATTAAAAAGTATGACCATTTCCATTATGCCTTAAAGATCAAGCAATAATTAGAAAATAGACATATTGAAACAACTTTCTTAACATCCTTGACACATATCATTATTAAAATAATTGATTTTATAGGAGAGAATAAACACTTAAAGTATGCAATTCGTATTTCAAAGAAAGAAGAATAAATTTTTGAGAAGTTCTCACTTCTTTTTGATACTCTAAAAGTGCACCTTTTTCACAAGATTTGCATCCCTATTTCATTTTTATGACATATATATCCGAAATCATTTTATTCAAATACATAAATTCCTTCTTCACATAGAGAATAGATATTCTATTCAAAGTAATTATTAATTTTAATCTGAAGATATATTTGAATAAAATAAATATAAAAAATCTATAGAATGTACTTTACGATGCTTTGATTAAACTTAAAAGATTTCCAATATATAAAATATATAGAAAATTTATCACATTTTATATCTGTTGCTACAAGTGTCCTTCGAAGAAAGGGGAATATTGATCATTTAAGATGATCAAGTCTAACGATTTATATTGGATTGATGAAATTCTTAATTAATTAAGTAAATAAAAGTATATATGATTAGCAATTTTAATCTGTTAATATATAACATATGCCCTTTACATAATTCTTTTTAATAGCTCTCTCTATTGATCTGATTTATAATTGTAATCTTTAACTCAAACAATTACAATTAATAACTTTACAAGAATTACGCATATTTGATTTCTCAATTAAGTTTGTTTTAGAAATTACAAAATTTTATAAGCCACATCAGTTAATGTATTATTTATTTATTTAGAGCAAATAGATTTAAAATTCAAATTAGATTAATAAATATTTTCATCAGTTAGCTATACGGATTTGACTGTATCATTCAAAATTCTAATAGAATCATTTCTTTAATTTACTTTAAACTATTTTCTCAATGTTAATTTAATTTATAATTTAATATCATTAAAAAATACAATAAATAATTAAATACTACTTAATTCAATAATTAAAAAGTTTCCATTTTTTATTAAATAAATACTTATACTATTTTTTACGAAACAAAGTGAGACTAATGACATTCCAATTTATTAACTTATATTCATATTTTTAATTTCAATAATTCTAATTATTTTATAACCCAAAAATTTTGAACATAATTCTTCATTAATACAACTTGATAAATATTATTTACTATTTCTTCATTCATAATAGAAGGTTTAACTGAGTGGGATATTTCCTTCTTAATACACTCACATTAAATCAGATTGTTTGAAATATCCAATTTTTATGTAACTAATATTCTTTGATTAGTTTATTTTTTATTATACATCATTATTAATTAAATAAATAGTACTGTTAAAACCAACTCATATATTTGCTCATTAATAAATTTTCTCATGGATTGCTGTTTGAATGTAAGTGAAAAATAATATTCATTGTAACTTTTGAGTCATCTTTTAAAAGGATGATACACTAAAATCCTAGAATTTTATTTAAACAAAGGACAGTCCTTTTTCTCACATTTGCAGAGAGAAATAGCAAACGAATACCTAATAACTTGAAATAATGAACATGATAATTTGATAATCTCAGTATGAGTAGAGGCGGTATTAAATCAGGATATAACTTTCATCTTTCTTACTTCATTTGATCAAGCCATTTTTGAATACATGAATTTTATTAACTTCAAAAATTATAATTTTGGAATATTTACTATAAAACATATTATTCGATTAAGTGGTGAAGATAAATTATGAAAAACTCAAAATCTAAAAAAAGTTACTATGGCCCTGCTTTACTGAAGAAGTCTTATTTTTGAAGTAGTTCTTTGAAAATTTATATTTTTCATCTACACTAATTGTTTTTTTAAATGAAAGTAGCAGTTAAACGATTTTATTCTATAATGACTATAGCAATTGAAATATACCATTCAAAATGGTAAGAAAATATGTTTCTCATTTAAAAAGTATGTAAATTTATTAACTGAATGATTGTAATATAATTATCAAGCCGAAGAATCTTGATAATTAAAATTCTCATATTGTGTAAAAAAAATAATTAAAGCAAAATTAAATTTCTTTATTTGATTAATTATTTCTTTTTCCATTATCTAATCAATATATATGCTTTCTGTTTAAACCCCATTCAACATCAATACTTCATATTAATAAAGCATAAATGCCTGCCTCCAATCGTTTGAATAAGCATTAGAAGTAAATTCATTTACTTAATTACAAGGCCTCTTACAATAGAATAAGCGACTAAATTGAACTAATATTTGCACCTTTTAATTAAAGCAATGCTCTAGGATTATTAATACCTCCTTCTGATTTCTTATTTAAGTCAAATATTTTTGAATTACCTTCTATTTCAAATAATTAAAAAAAACAGTTGACTTAGGAAATATTGCCATTAGTTTCGACCATTGTATCAAGAGAAGTCAAAAAGAATGAATAATCTTTGAATGAAAAATATAAAAAATAAAGTCAAGAATTCCAATTGAAATTAAATAATATATAAGAAAAGAAAAGTCATTATAAGGAAATCATAAAAATAAAGTAATAGGAAATTAAATAAATGAAAATATTGTTGTAAAAAGAATAAATAATATGTTAAAGCCCACTTCAAGACTAATACAATCTAAAAAAATTCACTTTTGAACTGATGAATCAAAATTCTATTAAATAATAAGAATAGTGTTATGCAATTGCAATTAATAAAGATAACTCAATTGTTATAGCAGGTTGTGACAAGTAAATAAAAGTATTTGATCTCAAATAAGGGATATTAAATGAATCATAACTCTTAAGTAATCATTAAGATTTTGTGTGCACATTAAACTTTATGAAGAAATCAAATCATTTTGTATCTGGAAGTAGAGATAAGTCAATTATAATATGGTAGATGAATTAGAATAATTAATGGAATTGCTAACATAAATTGGAAGGACATTCTAATGCTATTGACAATTTATTATTAAATAATAATGAAGATCTTATTATTTCAGGCAGTTATGATTCATCTATTAAATTTTGGAATTAATAAAATGGATGGTTTTGTTAATAAACTATTATAGATCATAGTGAATATTTCTTTTAGTTAAGTTTAAATGAAAAGTAAGATAAATTGATATCTTGTTCAGCTGATAAATAAATATTAGTAATTGAATATTCTTAGATGCATTAGATATGGAATGTGATTTAAAAGATAAAATTAGAATAATTTGGATATCGATTGTGTTTTATAAATGATAATTAATTCACATTCTAACCTTATGGTCAAGAATAAATGAATGTATATGAGCTAAATAGTAGTAATCAATAATTTGTTAAGGTCAAGCAAATTACTGTAATATCTAGTTCAAATAGTTGTATTAATCTATTTCCACAATAATATTTAAAATGTAAATGTCTTTTAGTGAATAAGAATGGTTTAAATATCAACTTTATAAGAAAAAAAGAAAACGGAGATTTTGTAACTGAGTAAACTATTTAATTTGATCATCATTATATTTTTGGTTAATTAAGTGATGATGGTGAATATCTAATCACTTGGGATTTTGCATCAAAGGAGATAAAAACTAGAAAATACAGAGAATTATGAATAATTTATAATGTATAAAATACAAAAATTAGAATAAAATAAATTCAAGGAGCTTCTTATAAAATTAAGCTTGAAAAGACAAAATTTTCTGCAAATTAAATTGTTCAAGGAGAAAATTTTGAAGAATTGATTAGATTAATAATGAATTAACATACCTTTATTCAATAGACAAAAATAAAAAATTATATCCTTAAATGTTTAAATGTTTAAATGTTTATTATAATTATCATTTTTATCCATTTATTCTAGACTCTCCACTTCAAT